GCTAACAAGGTCTCTATCGTCATGGAATTTACACTCTAAGGTGGAGAAAGACAAAGTGGTAAACAAGTGCTTGTCTAGTATCTATGAAGACAATAACTACTACAGTGGTAGGTTAGACTCGATCGGCTACTTTAGTTTGGATGATGAGGGAAACTTTGAATGCAGATTCCAAATGTTTTAGAATTAATTAAGTATGTCTGGGATGGGACGTAGAAACCTGCCTGTCTAAGAAGCCCCCTTGGGCTTAACCGATTAGCCGGTCCTACACTTCATTTGGAGAATTCCTGGCCTCTCTGACGGGCTGTGATCCCACCTGCTCCAGACCGAAGAGCCTGGGATGTTGGCCATCTCCAAGGCAAGAATTAGAACACTCGATGGGCTGGATATGGGAGGAGGCTTATTGAATAGCCTCTTGGAACTGCCCCAGGGGACAAGGTTGGTTGTAGAGTGGTTGTAACCATGACTACTGGGGAGAGGCACTGTTGGGGACATCCGGGCTATCTGATGTCTAGTCCCAGCTCTTCCCTAACTTGCAACTCAGCCTCTGCACCTTGGTCAGCATTCCCCTCTTCCCTGGGTACCCTTTCCTGGTGGTGAAATGGGAGTAAATTATGCCTGACTTGCTTCTACCCTCTCAGCTTTTGTAAGGAGTCAAGTGAGACAGTGTTAGTCAAAGTGCTGTGTAAATTAGAGAGATGGAGGCCAGTGCCTCAAAAGAGGTACCAAGAAAGGTAATGATTACAGGAATCTCAATGAATTTAAGCAGGATTCTTCATAATTGCATTATATATGCCCTTAATCAGAAGGTAAATCATTGCACCTTGCCATTCAAATGCACTATTTTTTATCGTACTTACTGATGAGTATTTCCTGAAGAGGTAATTCACACTAAGCCCTCTCCAAACTTTGTTAATAAGGGCCATTAGGGTCATTGTTGGTCATTCTGTTCCATATTCCTGTAACTGGAGGTAGAAGGTAGAGGTGCCCCCATGCAACTTGTGAGGGGACCAGGACTCTGTGGATGAGTAACCTGTTCACACTACCCAGCAGTCAGCCTGAGCTGAACAAGCACCTCTGAGCTTGCTGTTTGGAGGCTGGAGGGACACTGGGATCTCCCCGGGGCCTGCTCTGTCCCAGAAAGGGGCTCCTAACCACCAGTGTGCCATTTTACAGATGGGCAAATTGGGGCCAGAGACAGTAAAAGAAAAGACTACATCTTAAACTGAGGCTGTTAGAGCTAGAAAAAGGAATCTTAACAATTACTCAATTTCCTTGTTTTGCAGATGAGGACAGTGAGGTTCAGAGAAGTGAAGTTACTTAACCAAGGTCACACAGCTAGTTCAGGGCAGAGCCAGGTCTCACCCCTGAATTTCTTGATCCTAAATCCAGTAGATTTTTCTACATAAAATGATGGAATCGGGATTTGAGTTCAGGTCTTTAAAATTCCTGACCCACTGTGGCATTCTATATTCAGTTCTAAATATTAATAATGATCAAAACCAGTTAAGAGTAGCTGCTTTTATTGAGTAGCTACTATATGCTAGGTTCTATGAGAAATATTTGACATTATCTCATTTAATTCGCACAATAACCCAAAGAGATAGGTATTAATTCTTGCCACAAATATCTACTGAGTCCCTACTGTGTGCCTGGCATGGCGAGGCCCTGTGGCTGTACTCTTCAATCACAAAAGGTCACTGAAATTCAGAAAAGAAAGTAAGGTGGGTTGGGGTGCCTGGGTGGCTCAGTGGGTTAAGCGTCCGACTCTTGCTTTTGGCTCAGGTAGTGATCTCAGGGTCATGATCTCAGGGTTGTGAGATTGAGCCCTGTGTCAGGCTCCCACCCAGCGCGGAGTCTGCTTGAGATTCTCTCTTCTCCTCCTTCTCCCCCTCCCGCTCGTGCTCTCTCTTTAAAATAAATAAATAAATCTTTAAAAAAGAAAGGTGGGTGCCTGGGGTCACAGGCAGCAGCTAAATATCAGAGTGACCTGTTTAAGGGCAGTGTAACTTCCTAGGCCTTGTTCTTACCCACACCACACTGTAAGGCCTGCCTCTCTTCCTCCCATTGCTAAATCCACAAGTAATTACACAAAAACCATCAAATACACGGGCCTGGGAAAGATGCTAAAAATGTTGAATCTTGTCTCCCTAAAAAGCAAACTCCAACAGCAGGGAGAAGGGAAAGTAATTAAGCAGTATGTGACCCCAGGCTAAAAAAGAGGTAAGACAAGATTTACTTTGGGCAGAAAGTGACAGGGATCAAACTAACTTGCGTGGTGCCCAGGGCTTCAACACACATGTGTTTAAAAACAGAGACACAGAGTGAGAAAATCAAACTTAAAAATTGTCAAGTGGGTCCACATACCAATTTGTATTTAATTACGTGCTTTGTTTGCCCCCAGTGCTGACAACTTCCTGAAGAGAGACAGAGAAAGTCACCCCAGGGACCAAGGGACCCCGGAGAGCAGGGAGACCTGATTGATAAACTGCAGCCCATCACCGGCTTTGCCGAATGACTTTGGGCAGCCTCTCTGCCTTCCCAGGCTTCCGTTTGTCTATCCACAAAATGCGAAGCATAGTACCTGCCAATGTGGTTTATGGATGTGAAAGCTACAGTTTCCATGAAACTTCATTCTTTTGTGGGGAGCACAGGTAAAGGGTCCAGTTTTACTCCTCTTTCAGTTTGATTTTCCAAAGGAACTTGTGTTTCTGGAAGAACTTGGGCTGTATAACTTATCTTCTGTTATCAGGGGCTCCTGGGCAGGAGGCCTCTAGGCAGACATGGGGGAGTGGGTGGGGTCAGCAAGGGAGGGGCCTTGGCCAATACGAACTGTGCCAGCCGGGGAGTGTTATTCCAAACTCTGAAAACTCTTGGGTTCTTTGGCACATGCCAAGCAATTTATTTCAGTTCGTGAGAGGAGGCTCAGCCTAGACCTCTTCTTGTGAAGTCAGTGCAAACAGTAATAGTTCAGTGGGGTGAGGATGGTGGAGTACTAATTGTTCCCGTAAGATCTGGTTAACCCCCAGAGCAACACTTTTGTGTAAGTATGATTATCCCCATTTTACAGATGAGGAAGTAGGCTCAGAGGCAGCCCAGCCTCTCCAGGGGGTTAGGAAAAGAGGAGAATGGGTTTGTAATGAAGGTGGTCAGACAGAGAATTTAACTTCTAACACATTCACCATTTTGAGTTAGAGACGGGCCTCATCCCAGCCTCTTTCTCTTCGGTACTATCCTCTTCCCCCAGCCCTGCTCCCCTCCCTGGCATGCCTGCACTTCTCAAATGGTCTCACAGGATGAGCTTGCCCACTAACTTCTCCCCGCTGCAGTGCAGCCTACCACACTGCCTGAGCCAGTTCTCTGACTCTTTCCTGGACTTTGATGAGCCCTGCCTCTGCTTAAAATCTCCCTACTCACACCCCACCCTGTCCTGCCACTTCTACCACACCCTATATTCCAGCAGCAGGGGATCACTCGCTGTTTCTTTCCTTCAACAAATATTAAGCATCCACGATGTGCCAGGTACTGCCCAGGCCCTGGACTTAGACAAGTGAGCAAGATACACAGGTTTCCTGCCTTCGGGAAGCTCCGGGTCTCACCCTGTGGGCCCCATGCTTTCATGCCTCAATTCATGGAATTCCTCTCACTGTGAGGTTCCTGTTCAGAGCGAGGTCCTGAGTACGAATCCCAGCTGGACCATCTGGTGCCTTTGAGCAAATATTTAACTTCTCTCTAAGCCTCAGTTTACCCATTTGTAAATTGGAGATGATAATAAACTACTTATCTCGTAGAGCTTCAGTGATCTTTAAAGGAGTTAATGTGTGTAATTTAATAGCACAGTGGCTGCACATAGTATGTGGTAAGTAAATATTACCTTTCATTACATGTATTATTGCCAGTAATGTCATTCCATTTCCACTTGTCCAGAATTCTACTTGTCCTTCAAGGCTCAGCACAAAATGCCAACTTCTTCACAAAATCTTACTTAATTTCCACAGCTAGAATAGATTTCTCCCCACTCTTAACTCCTAGTGGCAATTTCCCTAAAGCATATGGTATTTTTTACTTTCTTTCTGCCCTTAATTATGGTTACTTATGAGTATGCCTTATTCTCCGTCGAGATTGTAAGGTTTCTTGAGGGTAGGGATTGCAACCCATTCTTCTTAGTGTCCCTTATTGCACTCATCAGTGGTGCCTAATGCACAGCAGGCCCTCAATGTATTTTCTGGGAAAAGAAATGAATGAATGAATGAATGACTACAGGATCACTCCTGATCACATCAATGTTTGGTACCTAGAGTGACACTGTCAAGGGCCAAGTGCTAAATTTTATATATACTTAATATATATTGTATGTAATAAATATATTAATTATACATAAATATATATGTACTTTTAAATGATAAAATATGAAAATACAATGTGCTAACTTTAACAAACAGAAAATATTTTTAAGTCTAGCAAAGCAAAACCCACATATAAGCCCACAGCCCAGGGGAAATCACTGGCAACATGTTGGTGTATTTTCTTCTAGTCTTTTTTCTATGTATGTTTTACATAATTGAGATCATATTGCACATTCAGCAGTTTTATTTTTTGTTTCCCCACCTTAACACTGTATTATGAGCACTGTCTCCACATCATTGCAAATTCCCTTCCCACAGTAAGTTGTGTCATCTAGTGAGCACCTACGGTTTGCCTTACTTCACAGCTGCCCACATTCTGTTTGTGCTATATTGCATTTCCCAAAGGACTTTCATGGAGAAGGACAGATGTGATGATCCCCAGTTGGCAGCTGAAGAACTGAGGCTCCCAGTTCAGTTAATTGCTCCAGGATGCCGGGGCAACAGAATCAAGGTGAGAACCCAGGTCATACCCCTCCCATTCCAGACCCTTCTACCACCCCACAGGAGACACAGCACACTTTGAAATGCAACCCTCCACCCCCTGCTCCACCAGTCTGACAAACTCAGACAACTATGTTCAATCATTCCAGGGTCTGGAAACATCCAAGTTCATGGAGAGAGGTGGAAATTAGCAGCCAAAACGAAGGCAGAAGGCAATTTTCCTGGCAACATGACTGTCATCAGTCACAAGTACTGAGCTCCCAGAACAAAAGGACCCTGACCTGGGGACTAGAGTGGAAACAATAAAGGACAAGACATGTTCTCTGTCCCAGGGAACAAAACTCCCTACACTAGCAGTGTTCTCATCACAGACCACTTGCCTGTCCTTTACCTATAGCACAGGTAAAAAGGGTAAAGGGTTTGAGGTCAAAAGAGTTAGGTTCAGATTCAGGTTTGCCTACTTCCTAGCTGTGTGATGTTATGCAAGTTACTTCACTTATCTGAGCTTTACTGTCTCCATCTATAAAATCGTGAAAGGAAAATACTTGCCTGAGAAAATTCATTATGCCTTTGAGAAAGTTCCTTTGCCTCTCTCTGTGTCGGTTTTCTCATCTGTAAAATGGAGATGATAACAGCACTGACCGTTAGGGTTATTGTGAGGATTAAGTGAGTAAATGCACACAAAGTGCTTAGAACAGTGCCTGACAAATAGTACACACTGAATAAACGTTTGCTATTATTATCATTGGCACAGAATCAAGAGAAACACTCTTCGAATCCCACACACAAAACGAAGAACAAATGATACCCTAATCTAGAGATGAGGAAACCAACTCTCAGAAAGATGAGGTGTTTATCTGGAACCCTGATGCTAGCTGATGGCAGCTCCCGGACCGCTATTCCAAAAGCAAACCTTCCCTCTCCGGGTCATATTCTAGCTGTCGCAAGCTATCAGCCTTCTGGCCAATTTCAGCCCACAGGCGTGTTTTGTTTGGCCCACACAGTATTTTTTTTAACTGAATTTAAGTGTGATTAGATGGGCCTAGCACACACTTGTGAGGGTCAGGCCTAAGCCCTCCTCTGGTGTTTGTTACTCACAGCCAAGCAGCCAACTACCCTCATGAGCATAGGCTCATATGGCGCCAGTCACACAACACATGGTATAGACAAGTTCTGGAGACTAAAGATGAGCACAGGCCAGAAGGGCAGGGGAGAGGTAATCAGGGAAGCCTTCCTGCAGGTGGCTGTACATGAGCTAAAACTTAGAATTAGGGAGTGGGCTTTGTCCAGAATGGAAGGGAGGGTATGAGGTAGGGCAGATTACTTTAGCATTTGGGGACTTTCAGGGATGATGAGTTTCCTTGGCAGCGCTTCCCCAGGCTTTTCCCTTAGTCAAGAAGAGAAAAGAAATAAGCTGCCCCTTATTTCAGATGAGGCCATGTGACTCAGGAGGTCCAGAGTCAATACGCATTGTCAGTGTTTGTTGATGAATTGATCTGTGTCATCATCCCTGAGTACTCAGCACCATGCAAGGCACCTGGAAAGAGATGTGATCACATGAGCCGAAGTATGAACTAGGGCTCCTGCCCTCGGTGATAATAGCAAGAATAATAAGGATAATGGCAGGGTCTGTAACAGGCTTTTGTTGTTGTTGTTGTTGTTGTTGTTTAGGGTGGCACTTCCCAAGGTAAATTCTCCAGAATGTGAATAGGTAGTCTACCAGGATGGAATCTGTCACCAAACCATTTGGGAAGACATTGGGTTTAAGCAATGTAAAATAAACGTTTTGCTGTGGGATAGCTCGGGGTTTTTACCATTCATGGTGAATCTCTCAGAAAGAGAACATTCCCCAAACTCATATAATACAGAGCAGATCTGAGCTGGGTATTTGTGGAACTCCCTTTGAGAAACACTGACTCCCTTTCTGGGAGTGGTATAGACAAAGGGATGTAGGAAGAGGTCTGCCTCCCCGCTCTGGCTCTGCTGCTACTTCCTATGGAAACAAGAAAAGTCTCTTTTCTTCTCTGGACTTTAGTTTTCCATTTAAAAAAAGAAGTCTGAATGTTCAGGAAGGTTCTTCGTATCCTGGCAGTTTCTAACATTTTATTGATTTATTTGAAAGAGAGAGAGAGCACAAGCAGGGGGAGCAGCAGGTAGAGGGAGAGGGAGAAGCAGACTCCCCGCTGAGCGGGAGCCCGATTCAGGGCTCGATCCCAGGACCCTGAGATCATGACCCGAGCTGAAGGCAGACGCTTAACCAACTGAGCCACCCAGGCATCCAGGTGCCCCAGTTTCTCACATTTCATACCTCTCTGACAGAGGATGAGTGCTGGTCACAGGAATGAGGTGGGAAAAGGCCATGGCAAGCTGATGAAGATGCCTGACTATGTGTCCCAGCAACAGTCACTAGATCAGAGAGGTTTGCCAACTCCCACAGGGTCCCACAGCACTTGAGTTTCTAGATCTGCAACACATGGTAGGAAGAGAGAACCTCAAATAATGTGAGTGGCCTCATTACTTAATGTGGATAAAGTGCATAGAGATCAGTAGATAAAGATGAGGAATAGCCAGGCTCATTTTGTGTGAGTAGCAATGCCTGATGTGTTTTCTGCCAGCCTCTAGGGTGATGGGGCTCCCGGGGGGCCCCTCAACCAAGAAAAGCAGGAAATGTTCCGGCATGCCTGCCACTCTCCTGCAAGAGACCCTCCGGCGACTCTGTAACACAACAGGAATAAACTCCAGACCTGTCACCTCAGCCCGCAAGACCCCATGTGCTCCAGACTCCATCCACCTCTGACTCTTCCTCTCTGCTCCCCTACCCTGCCCTTGCCCTGCACCAGCTTCTCAAACACATGGAGCTCTCCCCAGCCTGGGGGCTCTAGGGCACAATTCCCATGGCCTAGACCATGTGGCCCCCAACACACACACACACACACACACAAACACCATACACTTCCCATCCTTCAAGCCTCAGTTTAAGCTGCACCCCCTTCTCAGAGAGACCGCCCTAGATCGACTTGGCTGGAGTACTCCATGTTCTTCATACCACAGATCACAATCTCTGACTTTATGTGCTTATCTCCTTTTGCCCATTTTCTCCAATAATGTATAAACTCCATGGGACTGGAGCTTGTGGCTGTTTTGTTCACCCTGAATTCCCAGTCCCAAGTAGAGTGCTTCACACGGTAGGCACTTAAAGTTTGGTTGAACGAATGCTATGTGGCCTCTGGCAAGTCGCTTCCCCTCTCTGGGCCGCTGTCTCCCCACGTGTGAAAAGCAGTGCTTGAATGAGGTGCTGCTGAGAACCTCTGCAGTTCTGACGGTGGTTCTGTGACTAATATCTGGGCCCTGGGCCCAGGAGTGAGTCTGGTATGCTGCATTTACCACAGCGCTGCACACGGCGCGCTGCTTTAATCAGGCGGCAGACACCCTGTAATTTCATGTTTGCTGTCCCTCCTCCCCAGTCCCTGGGCTGGGAACAATGCTGTCAGATTTCCAGGATGATCCCTGCACAGCCAAGTGGGAGAGGATGTTCAGTCTGAAAACTCAAGGGCCAAGAAGACTTGTCACTGTCGTGATAGGAAAGACTGGACTCTTTGGGAGTGTTCAACAAATCCTATAATCTCTGGGTAGAAGGGACCCTCCAGGACGCTTGGCCTGGCCATCTGCCTTAAAAGTAACTGCCCTCTAAACCTTGCTCAGTAGTGATCATGATCACCCAGATTCCACTTGAAGTGCTGGGAACAGGGCCCTCACTGACTCTTAGGGCCGCTCATCTCACCAATGAATAGTTTTAGGAAGCCCTTTCAGCAGCATGGTGGAACATGAGGCAGTGTAGCATTAGGGGCAAAAGTCTGGGCCTGACGGGCCCGGGAAGAATCCCCGCTCTGGCACCTCCTTGCTGTGTGAGCTTGAGCAAGCCATGAACTGTCTCTGTGCCTCCATTCATCTTCTGCAAAATAGGGAGAACCCTCGTTGGGCTGTTGGGAAAATTACAAGCATTAATGCGATTATGGCGATACAAGCATTAAAGGCGATACATGTCTGTTTTTATTAACTACTACCTATGAGAGTTCTCCTTGTTATTATTGTTTTTAGATCTTCTTGGACTCTGTTCTTGGGATTGGTAGATTTGTTTGCAAAAGAGACAGCGGGGCCCAGTCGAAAGACACAGGGCTGGGAATCCAGAGGGGTGGGCTCGCTGGTAATTATGAGAATATTTACTGTATTTACTTTTCCAGGCTTCGGGACCTCACCTGAAAAAGGGAAAGAGAATAATCCTTGTCCTGCTTCCTGTCGTAGAACTGATGTATAGGTCAAATGAGAAATAAATACGAAGGCTTTGGGAAGTGAAAAAATGCTCTGTGGATGTGAGGGATTTGTCTAATGTTGTTGGAGAGCACTTTTGTCTTTTAGCAAGGCACATCAGCTCCCAAACAGCAAAATTGGCTAAACTCAACCTATTTGGCAAACAGTGTGTTTTTGATACTTGTTGTGAATTTGAAGCTAATCCCTTCAGAATCTTCCTTCATTAATGCACTGGAGCAAACAAATTTGAGAAGGATTTATTTATAAGCATTTGGTACATTCCTACAGGATGCAGGGCTCGGTTTGGCAGATTTCTGACATCTTTGTTTATTGTTGTAATTATTATTTCTTCAGTTTCTCTTCTTCTGGAATCTGATCGGAAGGATCCAGGTGGGGTGCACTCACTTTGCAAATGTAGGCAGGACACAGCAGCTCTCCATAATTTCAGGAAGTCTGGTGTGACCTCTTTCAACACCTGTCATGTCAGTGGGCCTACAGCGGGAAGAAGCCCCCTAGAATCGGTCTTACTGTACAGATCAGAAACAGAGGCTCAGAGAAGGGAAGGTACTTGCCCAAAGTCACACAGCTGGTTCATGGCAGAGGCTTGACCAGGTAACCAGGTCTCTTGACTCCAAACCCCATACTCCTTCCAACAGTTCTATGGAATCTTGTGATTTCTCTAAATTAGCTGATTGTGTACCAAAATCTTACAATTCACGGGGGTTCACATTTGTCAAAACTCATTGAACTGGGGGTGCCTAGCTGGCATGGTAGGTGGAGCATGTGACTCTTGATCTCAGGGTTGGGATTCAGGCCCTGCTTTGGATGTAGAGATTACTTAGAAATAAAACCTTAAAAAAAAAAACACCCAAATCCTCATTCAACTGTACACTTAAAACCTGAACAGGGGGCGCCTGGGTGGCCCAGTTGGTTAAGCGACTGCCTTCGGCTCGGGTCATGATCCTGGAGTCCCGGGATCGAGTCCCGCATCGGGCTCCCTGCTCGGCGGGGAGTCTGCTTCTCCCTCTGACCCTCCCCCCTCTCATGTGCTCTCTCTCTCTCTCTCATTCTCTCTCTCAGATAAATAAATAAAACCTTTAAAAACAAAACAAAACAAAACCTGAACAGGATTTGGGGTTAAATTTAACTCAATTTTTAAAAATGATAACATGGTGTAGCAGAGTCCTATTTCATGAGGGAGTCGGTGTCTAAGGCCAGCATTAAGGCAAAATTAAGCCCTTCGGCTGGAGCAGCATGGTGTCTTAGCTGGTGTTTCTGCAAGCATTGTTAACAGCCTGCTGCTG